AAACGCGTTTAATGTCCCGTAAATTTTCTCGAGATCCGTGCTCTTCCTTTTTCGTCGTTACACCCGGGACCAACGAGCAAGGGTTGACGACCCAATTATCGATACACATTTTTGCAATCCCTTCCAGAGATAGAGACGGAGAATTATACCTTCCAAGAGCCGAGAAAAAATTAGGCGAGGATTAAAGATCTCCGGGAACGAAATTTGTTAAACTTTTAATTCGACTTTGAGAAATCATCCTCCCCCATTCCCAACGCGAAAGAATCCCCGAGAAAACTCTCGCGAACGCGAGAGAAGAATTTTTTGCAATGTCTCGGGAAAGATTATTGGACTTCCACGGAGTAATAATAATTTAACGTTTCGACGTTCCCGTTTACGAGCGTCGGGCGCGAACTCTTATCCTTTCCAAGGATTCGCGGAGAGCGTCGAAACGATTAGCTCCTGGAGGACGGAGGTAACTCCGTCATCGCCTAACCTTCGAATAATTTATGGCGTCCTTCTCAAGGAAGCTGGTAAAGCGTTTACTAACGCTCTCGCGATTTTTACGACCCTTGTCAGCTATGAATCTATACTCTTGCATATTATGGACCCTTAAAACTTTCCCGTTCGAGGCGGTATCGGGGATCCCCCCTCCCCTCGTCTACGAAGAGTTAACATCCCGGAAACTTCCGGACACCGTGGAACGCTTTGCGTCATCCGTGGCTCGTATATTCAACGTCAGCGAGCATCTGCGTCGGGACGCCGTTTCAACTACGTCAGACGAACGGTCGCCAGGCTTGGCCATGCGTTATTCCCATAGGTGACGCGTGACGCGATCCTACAAATGACGACAGTTTCGTCCCTACGATCGTTAAATCACCGTGAAACGTTTACATTCTAGGAAAATAAAAATTGTCTTTTCCTCGTAAAACAGATATTTAAATCCCCCTTTCGTCGAAAAGCCTTGACCCAACATTTTAAAGTAGCAAAGTAGCGTTCTTAGTAGTGATTCTTATCCCGGTATCTCGAGTAAAATTAATTTTCCTAAGTGTTTGATATACTGCTGATGCACACGCATTGTTGTACCATCTGAATATATTTGCACAATAAAAACGAGCTGGTGAACGATAAGCTTTTACTCGTTCAACGTGAAATGTAATTAAATTTCAATTTTCATCAGGTAATTATTATTTAAATCCCTATATCTTGTGAAATTTTCGATCTTACAGGAACTTACTGTAAGTAAAACAATTTACGGAAAGCGGAATATTCGATGGTATATCGTGCAGCTGTTAAGAGGGCCAGGGTTAGGTCCGTGCCATTTAACGTCATTCCTTTCGACGGGGAAGTCGTATCAAGTCAGCAAGATTTCATCGTATACGTCCTCCCCCCCTCCCCAAAGGATCGACGTTTTTCGTTCGGTTCGGGGCTTATCGGAACCTTTCAACGATCATCCGTGGTTATCTCTCTCTATTTTTTTTCTCTCTCTCTCTCTCCCTCTGGCCCGTTCCCGTAGAGGCCAGGTCTGCGAGACAGAGACAAAGCGTCCCGACATAAATAATTTATCCGGCGGGGCAGGCTTCGCAGCGGCCGCGGTGTGTGTTGCATTAAATATGAAATCCAATATAAACTTTTGCTCGAGCGGCGAGCTGCTCGCCCTTTCTCCTTCCGCAACCCATTACGCGTGCACGCGCGAGCGCAGAAACCATACACGCGTACCCTACACGTTGCACAATGGGCCAGAATTAATTTCTAGCACGACGAACATACAATCGAACGATTTCGATAAGAACCAACCGGGGATAGATTCGACAATTTTATTAACTACTCTGGATCCTCGAGGTCTTCAAATTTAACCCCTTGGTACGCAGTAACGAGTCTGACTCTTTAAGTCTTATGTATCGAAATCAACAAATTTTTACTCCTTATCGTGGCCATTGTACGAACAAATTTAAGCGGAATCAAGTGGTATAGGTTTGAAGAATTATTTGGTAATCTTGATCGATCTTTCTTATTCGGCTGTTCATTGAATATTTTCCTGCGCGGTGGTTTTTACCGAAGTCAATTATTTCCGTTGCAGTGTGAATAAACTCTGGTCCAATGTTCGATTAAACATTATTCATAATTAATGGTATTCTTCCCTCGGCCGGCGTAAAAACTACCAGAATCGGATAATGTAAATGTTTAACCGCCGGTGATAATTTGTATATTATTGACCGATCCAATCCCCTCGCGGCACGGTGCATTTTGATTTGTTCCGCGCCCCGGGGAGTATGAATTAATTTGCAAAACAATTAATGCTGAATTCGCGCGCGTTTGTTTAACGTTACGTTAAATATACGACGTCGGACGATACCCCCGTAATTATTGTATTTCGTAAACGTACGCTGTTTTCTACTGCGCCCGTGCAAACATACACCTTCTTTGGATCTACGGAAACAGAGTTTAAAACATACAAATACAAACTGTATAATTCATATTAAACAAAAATTCCTTATGAAAGAATAACCTAAAAAATAAAAGTAAACAAAATTGCTACTAATTTTCCCCCCCATTCTTTGATTTCGAGAGTTCTGTGCAAAACAACGCAACACATTCGATACACGTGGATAAAAACTAAAAGATTTTCTTTCTTAATTTTGAGAAGAAGAACAAAGTGCACAGGAATTTTGTTCCATAGCTACGAAATCGTTCGTCGAACGTATTGTGAAGCGGTTTAAAAAAAAAAAAAAACATTGCCTCGCCTTTTGCGCCATCGTAGTCGGTGACAGTGACGACAATAACTGTGTATTAGTCGTACTTCCTCCACGTAACCGGTGCCGGACGAGAGTAAAGCGCGCATCGACGTTGAATCGTACACGTTGCTCGAATATCGATGCGACGTGAATCCCGCGGGTGCAGCTGCGCCGAGGTACGCTTTCGTCCATCAATCCCCGCCCAACTGCGTTCATTTTATATATTCCTTTTATTTTTTTTTTTTGTTTTTTAATATCAAACTTTCACCGTGTATCCGAAAGCGATATTGTAATACGAAGAGGCCCGTTCGCTGAATTTCAAAGCCGCGCGGAGAATAGTTAATTTCCCGGAGCCTGGCCTACGTCCCATTCGAGATCGAAATCGTCTCGATATCGGGTAATTTTTCCCGTCGACCGTTCGATACCATCTCATTTACAAGTCGCACGAAAATCGTTAACCCTTTTACGAGCGGATTGAATTTAACGGGAATCGGGCAGGTTACGATTTATGCATATACAATTTAAAATGTAAAAATTCACCAAGACCCGGGGTTTTCGATGCGGGTGCATGGAAAAAATCATGTTTGTTTGGCAGAGTATGTAGATTCGAGGAAATATGCAGTTTTAAATTTTGCTTTGTTGGTAACTCGAGGGGAGGAGAAAAATGGAAACTCGATAAAATCGAGATTTGTTTGGCACGAAATAGTTTGAAACCTTAACGGTAATAACAGGTTCCATTGAAAACATCCTGGTATTAATAACAAAAATATAACACCTAAAATACAGTATCGAAATAAACACGCCATTCGAAACCATATTTTTCTTTAATCCGATTTTTATGAAATTTGACGCTAATATTCTTTACCATATTTTCGTACCGTATGACGTGCAATTTTTTTTGCTATTAATTCTGAAAATATATTGAAAATAATGGCAACGAAATAATCACGACTTCCTTTCGATCTTTGAATGTTTATTGACCAAACCTAATGGTATACAGATTAACATAATTTAGTAGGCGATAACGCAGTCCGTAGGTGTGGAACGCCTCTCAGTTCCTGCGCGATATTGCTGGTCTCAGGAGTGCATAGAGCTAATGTCTGAAATATAGAGTTTCAACAGGTTATCATTTCCGTTCGATGTTTCTTACAATGGTCTTTCGTCAAAGGAAACTACCAATAAACGTTTGATAGGTCACTCGTTATGGCATCATGGTCACTAGTTGACCCACTAGTTGTGGGTTAACCGATCGCTGGTATTGGTTCGAATTTATTATACGACGAACTGCGTGAATTCGACGGATAACTCTGCAACTCTGAACCCTTTTACCGTGTACAGCATCGGTGGATCGGTAATTTTCGTGTTTATTTAGATCCGAGTTCGTTACTGTCTGTTCTCTAGATTGTAATTTTTAATTCTTGTTTCATTTCTTCTTCTTAATACGGTGCAAAGAAAATACTGGAAGCAGGACATAGGTTTTAGTCAGACTTTATTGCACAGTTTTACCAATTTCTACAAACACCTGTTATTTAGTCGAAAGTTTCTCAATGAATAGAATTTTATAGGGCTCTTCTTTTATAAATAAGATCGAGTAAAATTTTTACTGAAGTTCTCTGCTAGTAAAATTGCTTGGAGAAAAGGTTCTTAATATTTCCGAAAAGAAAGGAAGAACATTATTCGAGGTCTGTCCCGGAGACTTCGCGAAGCAAATTTCGTAAGACGCAATATGGGTGTCCCATTTCCCCGCGACCTAAATGGGCACGAAAAGGGTTAAGTCAACAGAGGTCCCAGACAAAGCAAAGTAGCTCAAGCTCTCGGTACACTAAGATTCTGTAACCTCAATGGGACAATGCTTCGATTAACCATGAAAGAACGCTTCCACTTGGCACAGAGTGTCTCGAAAAGACGTTGTGTGACCCGGGGTTATTAAAAATATAGGACAAAACTTCCCAATAACGTTTTAGCGAATAGATTTTACATCGAAGATAATAATCCCTGAATTTTTGGAGCAATCAGGGGGTACAGAAAAATATTCGAGATAAAACTCGGACAAATATTCGTTAAAATTGATATTCCCCGCGTTTTGACGCGTTGAATTACGAGTTGTGTATTTTTAATGATCGTTTCCGATGCGTAGCGTTTACAGAAATCGGTAAATTATTTTTCCGCCGGCCGCCGCTAGTGAATTATGGTCCATCGTTCGTCGCGTTTATGTAAACGACGCAGACTTAGCGCGCGACTCTCGACGGTATAAAACTCATTTCCCTTGTTTCTCGGTTTTTTCAGGATGCAGAGACAAAGCCGGAGTAGTTCGGAGGTGGAGGTTGCGCTTATGCGCCCCGTAAGCACCGCTGGCTAATAGCACCACGGCCCATCCCTGACACCCTGCAGCCACACCAGGTACGAGAATACACCTCTTCTTTTATGTTTGCATTTTTCTCCCATTGGCCGTTGCGTTCCGTGAGTCATTTTACGCTGTCAGCTTTACGGCAAACATCATTATACCGGGCGAGTCTCTTAACGCGACGACTTCAAATAACTCGTAAAATACTTCCTCTGCGAAACGATGTTTCGAAACGAAACAACCATCGTCAATTTTCTTAACGGAATGACTCGTTGCAAGAAGATAGCTTGGTATATTAAAATTTTTAATTCTACAATGAAAAATAAATTTTGAAGATATTAAAAAAGAAACAATCTTCCGAAATGTTGAGTTTGGCGTGCTTAAGTGGCTCACCCGGTGTATTTATAATTCGCAGTCGGTGTCCAGGGAGGATTGCTTTTTTCGCGCTTGTATTCTTCGCGTTGAAAGGCGATAGTATCGGTGGAAACGCGGCGCTCCGTGAATAGCGTGGGGAAACGCGAGAGGAAGAGGGCGGAATCGCGACGAAACGTTTATTTTACGATCCTTCGCGATGTCGTTCGAAAGTTTCATTAAGCACGGACGTTGCTGATGAATCTAGCGACGAAGAAACGGATTTAGGTCGTAGAAGCGTGACCGTAGTCCGCGCGTGTCACGAATAACGACACGGAACAGTGTGTGTGATATAAACTACTGGGTTTGCGTCGTTGGAATAATAATTAAAAAATAATTAAATTTATACATTCGACTTTAATCTACTTGTTAAGCAGTTACGGTGTCAAAACGTCGGTGGTGGAAAATGAAATTTCAGTATTTTTAAACAGGGAAAATAATTAATTTTTCTCGTGGTTACACAAATTTTAAATGTAAAAATGAAGAATGCCTTTAAAAGATTCCAAAGTACGGTGAAGAATGTCAGAATCGAGAACGTTGAAAGCATTCTGTTCGAACGTTCGCTGGGAAGGCGCGCGACGAAAAAGCTTTCACCGAAAGCGACAGAGCAAAAACATAAACCGCGAAAATTAGCGTCGACTTAGCCGGTATAACTTAATGCACTTGCACTTCGTAATATCCGCTTTACGCGTCCCGGTTTCGTTCGTAAAGAGACCAACGAGTCGAAATCTCCCGGATCCGCGTAAAAGAGTGCCTCGAAAGCAGAAAATTTATGCATAGCCCGGAATCGGATCAAAGGGGAACTTCGTGACAGAAATCAGGGTAGAAACTTCGAATAAACTAAATTACCATCGGCTGCGCAACGACTACTTGTGCTCGTCCACTTATACGGCTCTCGGCTTCGTTATCGAACGACGGAGACACGAGTGAAAACGAACGTTACACGTAGTGGCCAATAAACGTTCTTCGTAAAAAGGTTTTTGTATCGGGAGAGGGTTAATTTCATCCCCTGAAAGCGAGATACACCGCGAAACGAGAAATAGGTCCGCGTTATGGATGACCTACTCTACTTGCACGTAGAGAGTTTCCTCATTTTTTTAGTTTACAAGTTACGAAACTCGCGAGTCGCGTTTATGAGTATATCGCAAACGATCTCGGAACCATTTCCATTTCATTGACAAACATTTTGGTTGCCAAAATGACATCAGCTGGCGGTCTCAAACATCAATGAACGTTAATATTATCAAATACAACAATGTATAATACTGTTTGATCCATGAATTCTTTTCACGTTCCACGCTTAAATCTCACAGGACGGTTGCTCGTTTCGACAAACATTGATCGCAGAACGCAAACTATCGAGAAACTATATTACTTTCCTGTTGTACAGATTTACAGATATATGTTTCACATTAGCTATGCAGACAAAAATATCCAAAGCCCCAAACGGATTCCTCATTTTACAAGATGACTGAAATCATTAATAATTTTGTACACGTGGCATATCATATTAATATCGAGAAGACTTCCTTGAAATATTTCAAGGATTCCAATTATTTCTGTAAGTTTGTGTTAAATTGAAAGATCCAACCTATTAATAATTTCGTGCAGATAACAAACCGTGTAAAAACGAAGAAGACATTTCCTGGGGATGTTCGAAGGATACCAATTATTTCTGTAGGTTCGTGCGAAATTTAGCGAGCGTGATTTCGAGGCGAGGGCGTTCGCGATGGGAAGGTGGCGAACGGAGGGGGAGGATCGGGGCGGGAAAATTGTGGTAATTGAAACGTGCGTGTACGCGCGCGAGCCGTTGGAAGTGGAGCAAGGACTGTGCGAGATCTAGATCCTCGGAACGATTTGTGCCCCCCGGAGTACCGAAACGGGCCGCGCCGGTGTAATTCGAAGCGGAGCCGCGCGGAATATTGCGCCTGCGTTTCTCCCGCAGCCGATACCAAGGACGGGCGTCCCGTTCCGATTAAACTTCCACCTTCGTCCCGGACTAATTCATACGCCGCGTGCGATATTCATGAATCCCACGTTCCGAGCGCCTCGAATATTTCATGGCGACCTTCTCTCCGCGAGCCTGTCGCTCGAGTCACGTTTCCGTAATTACGCGCCATCCGAGGGGGCGGGAAGGGGGGGAAAAAATCGAACACACGCGGAAACGCGTCGCCTCCGATGTTTTACGCGTTCCATCGATGCACGCTGAGAAATAACAATTCTGTCATTTTTCATTTTTTTATGCCTCTGTTAGGTCTGGACGACCTAAAGAATTTTTCCATATCTCTGTTTACGCTTTAACTGTCATTCATATTTTCACCGTGGAACTAAATTAATTCACAAATCGAAATGGAAATAAATTTGAAATTCATGAATTTTATCGAGGGTACGAAAATAAATAGTACGATCAATTTTATGTTGCGCAGTTTGGTCCAAAATCAGAGTGTTGGTCTTGCAAATAATTTTATTACATTTTACAATACAAACCGAGCCTCTTGTTTCAAAATTATTCTTATTTAAGTAACTTCCCCTGAAACGTAACGCGACTGGCGAATCGGTTGTAATAATGGAACGTTCCAGTGTTTCGAAGCGTGCACGCATCGTTCATCGTCTGGCGAGGAGTTAATCTTCCCCGGCGAGGGACTTCCTTTTCCCATCTTGTTGTTCGCCATCGCCATGGTTGGCCAACCCGTGTCGTAGGGATCCTCTCTCGCAGTCTTTCTCGAACCTCCGTACCCGAAGTCTAACGCGCGGATGTTAATTCGCAAAGTGGAAAATCGTTTTCGTGCGGCGTCGTTCGTATTTCTTTCCGCGGTCGTCGGAAGATAAACGCGAACGAAACACCCCTAACCGTGGGTGAAATATTCCCAGCGCTGGATTGGCTGTTTACGATAATTGTCGGCTCGTCGATTTACAGTAATTTTACACGCGCCTAATTAGCAATTCCGATCGGGGGCCGCCGTTCGGCTGCACGCCTTTTCTAACCGGTTTGTGCCCGATAATCTACCTGGATCTCCGCGCACCGTGTTCGCGTTAAGCCGCTCTCACACTCGATCGAGATTTCTCGTTCTTCTGGAATTCATTTCCAATCGAGACGAATTTATTCCGCGGAATATTCAAATCTGCGAATCGATTAAAAATCGTTTTTTTATTGTTCCAGACTATTATTTGCATTGTGATCGCTGTTTATATTTCTTTAATAAGGGGTCGATGTATTTTGTATTTTGTGAACGTTTCGAAGGCAGATGTTATTTCACAGCTGGGTCATATGAATATTGTATGTCGTGCGACGATGGTTTGGAAGGGTTTGAACTACATTCGAGAAAGCATCAACCTAATTTCGAGCGGTCAGAATTATTGAGGGCCAATCCCCGATATCTCTCGACCCTCCGTTGTTTTAAAAAAATAAAAAGAGTATCGACTGTCGATGAAAATATATTTGAGATGACCAACAAAGGTTGGACTTCGCTTCTGTCAGTCCTTGCGTGTCCATTCTTGTAACAGAAGAATGTCGATTCGATGTCTGTCGCGAGAGAAGATAAAATGAACTGTTTCAAACTAAAATACTTCGAAACGTCTATGGTATAAAAATGAGTGCGGTGTTGTAAGAGAAATCCGTCTGTTTGGATGGAAAGTCTCTGTCAAAGCGTGTTCCAGTCGTTCTGACCATTTCACCTGTGTCCCATTCGCTAAAAACCTCTTCTGTGCGCGTTCTTTGGATCCAGAAAACACAGGAATCGTCGTCCACTGTGCGGGTAGCCTAAGTCTCGTTCCCGGGAGGCGAGTGGTCGGCGTGCGTGCAGGAGTAAGCGGAATAAAATGAAGCGGAATAGAATAAAGTCTTTATTCCCGTCTGGGAAGGGAACGACGAGGACCGTAAACGCATAAAGGATTATTTAAAACGTAAATATGCGGTAACCGAGCGGAGCGAGCGAGGCGAGAGGAAAATGTAAACTACAAGCAAGAGGGGGGGAGGGGGCCGAGTGGTCGGAGAAAATTGAATAATAGAGAAAGACTGGGATTACGCGAATGCCTCGTTTATAAGGCAACGACGGGAACCAGGGAGAAAAGAGCAGCGGAGTGCGCGCGTTCAGAAAACCGCGTTCTCCCGGCGAGCAAGGTTTAAAAAGGGTTGTAACGTTTGAGAGTAAACGCACGCCAGTGACGTATAAACGCGTCGTCGATCTCGAAATTATTAACTATCTGAAACTGACGAGTTTTCACGAACGCCCGAAGGAGTCTCCGGAGCTTAAAAATCGTTTGGAAAAGTTTGAAAAGTTATGTTTCCACAAATTCAGGGAGGATCGATGAAAGGAAACCCATCCAATCGAGGGATCCTTGTCTAACGTTTCAGAGACGGAGCGGGAGCGTCGATCGAACGCGATACGTTTGCTGTTTCCTCCCCGGACAATGCACACAACCGTGTCTGCAAACATGTTAGCGAGAAAGAAAAAGTTTGCTGCTTCAAAGTCGAATGGTACATAATACTTTTACGCCGGAAGACGTCGCACAGAGGAGTCGAGGAAGCACGAAACGGGGCAAAAGGAAGCTTTAAAAAAGCGCCAGAATTTCTTTTGCATTTATAAAAGATGGACCATCTTCGTTCTCTCGCTCCCTAACCATCGAATTTAAAATCAGTTTGCTC